AGATAGAACGAATATGAAACATATTAGAGAATCTTGAAAAATCCACAGGTATAGGTCTAAGGAAGCACTCATGTATGTCGCACGGTTTTAATGTCTTGGATAGACGTTTAAAATTTATGGATAGTGGACTCAGGGAGCCACCGATCATACAACTCATACTTCCAAATCCTTTTAGACTTATGTGTCATGCCCCAGCAATAGAAAAATTATCACAACATATGGTTCTCTAAATACCATTGCTGAAAGGGCCACATCAAGCTGAATCTTACCTTGGTTCTATAAAATGTGTTATATGTTCCTAAACTATGTACGTTGTGTTAGTCACCAAATTATTACAAGATTTGAACTATAAAGTAACATTTTTTTTCTTACCGTGACTTTCAGGATCAAAATCCAGAAAAAGATAATTGGACGTGCTGAGGCTAAAAATGGATTGTATTACTTGGGTGCATCTAATGCATCTCTCTCTGCTATTTCTATTGACCCTGACCACAAGTTTTCGCTCTATCTCAAGACACTTGGTCATCTAACCTTTTTCACTTTAAATGTTATGTTTCTTCTACTGTTTGAAAATTCTGATTACGGGAACTTACATAACGATGTATGCAAATTAGTCAAACATAAGAATCTACATTTTCCTATTAACAAGAAAAGAAGTATGGTTTCATTTTCTTTGATTCATAATGATGTTTGAGGATCATCCCACATTCCTAATATTTTTAGGGCTCAATGGCTTGTGTCATTTATTAATGATTGCACGAGAGTTGCATGACTTTTTTTATTCAAATCCAAATCAGATATTAGCCACACAATGCCTCAATTTTGCAAAATGATAATCAGATCACACTATAAAAGGAAGCCTATAACCACCATTCTAACAGAAGTAATGGCTTGTTTGCTTTTATAATACATCCTAAATGCAATCAAAGTGGACCATGAATTGTGAATGAAACCAAAGAGGGAAAAGAAAAATGAAATACCACTGCAAGCACAAGAGTAGATAATACCTTTTCTCCCACTTTTTCTTGTTGTTCTTTCACTTTTTCATGTAGTTTCTGCAACCTCATGTTCACCCTCAGTCTCTTTTCCTGTTTGTATAGAAGCAAACCAAAATAACTTCCTTCAACAGGAGAAAGTATCAAAACAGAAACAAGTTTTAAAACAGAACCCAAACAAAAGGATTCCTCGTAAATACACGTGCAATACCAAACAAGCACACAGAAAGAAAGATCATGCCTTCACATAGCTAACTCCAAGTTCTTTTCTTGTATATCCTCGATCCAAATTACGCATCACATACTGGTTATAATCTTTAACTATCCTCATTATTATGTCTGATGTTGATATCCCATCAGTTCGCTTCGTTTCCTTAAACTTTCCAATAGATTTAACCTGCAAAAAGAAGCTCGCATAAGCATAACAACAGATTGTTAAAGAGAAAAATAACTGAAATCAGGAACGAAGAATGGTCATTCAGGACTTACGAACTCATAAACATCATTACCAGCTCCACTGGCATCAGCATAGCTGTAAAAACATTATGCAGAACCATAAGAACTACATGATGTACCTGACTGCCTGAATAATGTAAATGAGCACGATGGCATCAGACTCCATCATGACGGACATAAAATGCCAATTCTATTAAACAAGTATATAACGATTTTCTATTTTTAGAAAACCATAAGATTTACCTAATTTTTCAACTGAAATAGATTCATTTCAAATTAAAAGGTGAATTAAAATAGAAGGGAAATGGAAGAGAAGTTCAAAGTTGTTTGAAGACTACTTTCACGAGAACAAAATCATAACTAACATTACAAATCATGTATCCTTACGGAAGAGAATCGTGGGCCACATAGTCTATCTTATGCTTGTCAAGAAACTCCTGCGTCATCACCCAAGGTGCATCAGGGATGACTTCATCAACCCACCTGCGACAAATTTAGAAATAAAGTAAAACCAATAATTGTTGCATCGAAACAATTATTTAAACAGTGGAGGAACTACTCAAATCCAATCCTTTCATTTCAATAACCTACAGTTTATTTAACAAGTTCAAAGGATTGGGAGAAAAGAACCCATACTTGCAATGGCGGAGAGATTCATAACGCTCGGCTTCCGTCATAACAGTTTTGCCTTTGTACTTGTGGGTGATTTCATCATTGCAACATCCGACAAGCAGATACGTGTTTGGAAACCTAAAAATACATTTCAACATCACATAAAAAAGGCGTAAAACTTCCATTCAGCTACGAAACCATACTCAGTTGAAGGAATCACCTAAAGTATGGAAAACCCCAAGAAACAAATGCAAAAACCCGCCAATCAATCAATACAAGTGACGCATATCGCAACGAAGAGAGATAGCCGCAGAGAATTAGAACAGAAACACCAAAGACAGAAAATCATACAATCTCAAATATGCTATTTAGTAATTGACAAGACCAGAACAAACAGAACTAGAGTTCAGATACAGATATAACAATGCAAATAACACACACAGAAGTCAGAGAGAGAAAGATCGAAACGCACGATTTCTTGGCTTGCTCGAGAGAGCGGGCGTGGCCGAAGTGAAATAGATCGTAGATCCCATCGGCGTAAACGCGGACAGGGCGATCAGAGGGCGCCGGATCGGAAGGGGTAGCAGTAGGAGTAGAAGGAGTGGAATCGGAGGCGGTTTCACAGTTAATATGGTTGATCATCCTGTCGGAATTGGTGGTTTCCTTTAGGAATTTTACCAGGAGAAGAAGACTTTCTGAGTCATTCTAGAAAATCTCTCTCCTCCCTCTTCTCGCGGGATCACCTGCGAATATCCGCTCCTTCCGTTTTCGCTTTCCTATTTTTCGGTTACGCGTCCGCTTTTTAATTGTTTCGCTGGCTGCTCTTCTGTGCCGCGGCTCGTGAGGTTAATGTCATGGACTCATCCCATCGGCTTATTTCACACTTTCCAAAAAAATAAATTAAATTAAAATATTTCATTATTTTATCATAATTTTTAAAGGAAATCTGAAACCATTATTGGTAATTATATTCTTCTCATTTTTATTATTTACTGCATATATATATCCTTTTCTTTACCCTATCTTCTTCTTCATTTTTGTATGTTGTAAATTTTTTTAGTACAAAATAATATCTATTAATTTCATACCGGATAAATTTCAAAATATAAAATTTTAATATAAATTATAATACGAATATTATCATTTAGTCAAAACTTATTGACAACAAATGTAACTGCCCCGGAAATTTAAATGAAATATATATATTAAAAATGTCAAATACGGAAGCGTAATAAAAATTTTGATTAACATCCCTTATACAATAACCAAAACGTACTCAAAACATGAAAGAACAAACTAACTAAAAGAGATACTCGAGATAAGAACTATAAATATAGCTATAGAGTCTTTAAGCGTCCCCTTCGCCGTCTTCCTGCGGAACGAGCTCCGGAACAATGTCTTCCTGATCTGAAATGCTTAAATAAGGAATGAGCTACACCAGCCCAGTAAAGACATCACACTATCTCACCGCCACGGAAGTAAAAGTGGGTAGAAAACAAAAATAACTAATTGAATATAATTTATAACAAACTCGTTTATTAACATAAAACTTTTACTGTCCATTTACCTCGGCGAGATCCATGAAAACAACATATGAAAATAATAACCTTATAATATCATGAAATCATACACACTTTATAATATAGCATATATCACACATTTACATTTCAATCATCAGGAAACAGATTTCCTCTTTTCCTAACCTACTCATATCCCTGGTGATCCATAGGGGGTCTCCACTACATGTGAACCATTAACACTTACAACCTGATTCCAGGGCCGTCCCCATACCCCGTCCGGTATGGGCGTCAAAACCATGAACCTCAATACCCCATCCGGTATGAGGGTGAAACGGGTCGTCCCCATACCCCGTCCGGTATGGGCGCCAAAACACATAAGGTCTTCATACCCCGTCCGGTATGAGAGACCACGTTCCCGGTAGGGTTCCCTACGGACCCGGTCCGTCCACCATCTCCCAGGATATCTAATTAGGCTGTCCATATTTTCCACTTATCAATTCACATAACCTTCTTGCCATTTTCCTTGGTCTCAATCATCCAATCATACACAACATGTAAACCAGTAATTGACACCAAATAAGACAATACAGTACCGGGTTCACCATAATACAAACCATAATAAAAGAAACATAATTCATGCATACGAGATCATAACATAATTACATCAAACATCATGCTGCATGTAATACTGGAAATTAGATCAAACAATAACAGACCAACACTGTATCAGACTCGGTCTCCACTGGCAACCTCAATCAATTATACATCTATAAATTCACACAGTACATTTTAATTATTTATTTTGCTTTAATACCGTGATAGGAAATAGGGTGAGGGGTTCTTACCTGTTTTGGGGTCTGAATTCAACTCTACAGTGTGCCTACAGGCTGTCCCTAATTTCCCTGAATTTTTTTCGAAAAGCTGAAACGCACTACCAGTACCTGCACATGACTCAAAAAATCACAAATCAGACCTAGGGCCCTTTTCGGCCAATATCAAAATTCCGATACGGCGGCTCCGCCGTGCTCCGGCGACGGCGCCGCCGCCTACGGCGTCGATCCGCCTCGAATTGGCCGTTTTCGGCCGAATTCAGCCACATTTGCATCGGTTCCTGTGAGAAAACAACCCTAAGGCCCTCAGTGGGCCAAAAAATCACGAAAAACTGAGACTTACCCGCGGCGGTGCTCTCGGGTGCGGCGGCTCCTCCGGCGTGAGTCGCGTTTTGATGTTTGGCTCTGATTAACCTGTAAAGAAAAGAACGGTGATCACAGTGGTATAAAATTTGCATCGAACGGAGGTCGGGAAGGGCCTCATTGGAGGCAAAAACAGAGGGGGGGCGCGGCGGCGTCACTGAACTTCGGTTGGTTTTTTCAGCCGTTTGGCCGGTGGTTTGGCTCCGGTTTGGCCATAGGCGGACTCAGCATCAAAAAACGAGCCAGGAGGAGAAAATTTACTTCCCCGGTACGGCGGCGGGTGGCGGCGGCCGGCTCCTCCGACGTCTGGTTCTTCTTTTTCGGCGAGGTACTGGCGGCTAGGGTTTTGTGGTCAGGTGTGTGTGGGGTTATTTATACCTTTTGCCTTTTAATCTCAACCGTCCATCAAGATTAAATATGGACCGTTCGATCGCAATTTAATTGGGATTAAATCTAGGCCGTCCATCGCGATGCAATATGGGCCGTTCGTGCCTGATTGAATCTGGGCTGTCCGTACGCGTGAATCTGGGCTATCGGTGCGCACGTTTGATATGGGTCGTCCGTGCGCGCGGAAATGGATCTGGGCCGTCCGATCGCGCGCACGCGAATCGCCCACGTGGCTCGTTCCCTGGTCAGCGTTGCCTTGCCACGCGACGGGTCCTGGTTGGCCAGGGCTGCTGACCGGGCCGCTGACGTGGCTGCTAAGGTGGGTGCTGACGTGGTACAATTTTTTTTAAATTGTGTTTTGACCCCCGGTTTCTGATTTTCTTTTCAAAAACACTTCCAGAATCTAAATTTTCACCCTTTTTTTCTAAAATCAATTTCAATTAAATCCAAATAATATTTTTACCCACTTTTATCATTATTATTATTTTTATTTTTATTAAATTAAATTAAATTAAATTAAAATCAAATAAATAAAAAATAAAAATAATAAAATAAAATTTTATTTCACTTGGGTGTTACAACAAACCTCTTTTATTTGTACACATAAATGAAGAAAGAAATTATTTTTGTTGGGTGAAATTACTTTTTTACTTTTTATATTAATAAAATGCTAAGTCAAGTTGTTGTCATACTCATTCAAATTAAAGAAATTTAATCATTATAAAATATTTATTTTTTCTGAAAATATAATACATTCGTTAAAAATTTATTTTAATTTGGTCACTACAATACTACAAATACACTTGTAAACTAGATATTTGATTCTATTAAATTAAACACCATAAATTTATTATCACTTACTCAATTTGATTACTACAAAATCTTTTTCAATTTTTTGATCAAGATCAAGTGTAGAATTATCTTTTTATATAAATTAATATTAAAATATATCAAGCTGAGATATTATTTATATTTATATTGCTTGGAAAAAGTATTAAATTTAACACGAACAAATTTCAAAAATCTTAATTTTAAAATTAATTAAGAAAGTAGAGACATTTGATCGTATATTAACTTATATTGAAATGTCATTTTTAGGAATAATAAATAATAAATCACACTGTGTTGGTTAATAAATTATATTAACAAAAACAAAAAGAAAGAGTATAAAACATTTTATATATCCACAAAATTTCACATAAATAAATATATATAGTAACTAAAAGATATAATATATATATATATATATATCAAAAAGGTTGCAACCATTGATCCGCATCGATAAAAGACACATTAAGGAAAGGAGCAGCCTGTGTATCATTAAGTTTTTGAACGTAAGTTGCCCTCATACTCATGTCAGCTCCTGCACCCGAGCAGTTATATTCCCCGTAGAATATTGTCCTGCATATATATACACACGCGTATAAAATTAGTTATATAATTAAATAAAAACCGTTATTTAATTATTAATAAAATTATTTTTTAAAAAATGAGATTAGCTAATTATGATGATCATTGGCGTGACGATAATAATTTATTAATACATACTGGTCTCGTGAAGGATCGTTAAAATCATTCCATCCCTCAGGTGCAATAATATCAGTCATTGTCGATTTAGCAAAAACCACGCGCGAGAAAGGCCGCCAAGCGCGTCCCAGCCACACTCGCCCCGCCCCACCAAGGCTACAGTTCACGAATGCGAATCCTGTGTTATCATCATTCGACGCTCTTCCGTGGGCCGTTACGGCGCCGTTTATTCCCTTCGTCCCCGGAGGCACTGGGTTCGCCATGGAAACCAACATGCAGCTCTGCAAATTATATGTTTCGATAATGCCAAGGTAAGTCATGTAGTACGATTCAGTTATTGTATATATAGTCCTTATAACAGCAAGGTTATACATGTATATTATATATACCTCGTAGAAGGATCTTGCGTTGCCAAAAATGAAATCAATGGAGCCTTGGATGTAACAATCCTTGAAGTAATGGCGACCTCTATCGTCATGAAGAGTATCTTGAGCTCCGAAGAAGCCACAACCCCAGAAGGCTGCTTGGTCTCCTGCTATTCTTATTGCCACTGCTTGCGCTCCCACATCGCCGGGGCTCGGAATTGGAGCTACATTCTGGACATGCATGACATACGGAGATAAATATATATATATATAACTACTTGTATATGTTTATGTGTCTGTTTATATAATCTGACCATGAAGCTTATGTTCTTGGCAATGAAGTTGTTCGCAAAAACTTGCACAGAGCCGCTATAAAATGTACCATTTGCCGAGTTGGCCGTGTTATTCCATGCAATCGCCGTTGTCGTGTAGCCTTGTCCTTGGAACGTTACGTTAGGTTTGGTTCTTGGTATTACAACTTTCTCACTATAAAAACCATGCAAGTTAAATCACATTTAAGTTAAGCTGCATGCAAGAAGAATAATAAGAAGAGAAACTCACTAGTAGATGCCGGAGTTGATCCAGACCACGGTCATTTTCATACTGAAATTAGCAACGGCGTCAACAGCAGATTGCACCGTCGTGAAATTACAGCAACCTTTTGCATCGACGCAAAGAAACGTCGTCGCGTTGGTGTCCGGAGGTGGGATATCTATGGGGAAATCATCGCAGACGGAGATGGGTTTTCCCTTACCAGAATCATGTTTTCTGTGGTGATGATATCTTGCCAGCATTTCACCAAGATTTTCAAAGTAATCGAGAAATGGGTTGAAGAGAAAAGTTGGTGCAAGAATTGCGAGAATGGCGACGAGAGTAGTGAGCGAAGTGGTTGCAGGAAGAGTCGCCATTTTCGCTCTGTAATTTCTGGTTTTGGTGGGGGAGAAGGTGACGATCGAGGTATATTTATGGATAGCAGAAATTAAAGAATAGGTGGGAGATGAACTTGCATGAAGTGCAAGACTTGATGGCATGTCTTTGAAATCACTTTTTGGTGTTCTGTGTTTTTTGTTTGGCACGAAATATTTTTCTTGCGTTAGGATCTACAGTACAACACTCAAATTAATCAAATGGCCGATGAAGATTTCAAAGGGTTGCCCCTTCCTGTTTCTTCTGTTGCAATTTGGATCGGATCCGTAACCTGGCCCGGCTCATGAAATTCAAAACCAATTAGAATTATCAGGCGGCCAAGTAAGAACATTTGTTTAGACGCAAGTCTTTTTGGAATGTGTAAATAAAGAAATAAAAAAATTAGAGTAAACTATACCTTGAACAATTAAAAAAAAAATTAAGTAAATTATCAAATTAATTTTACAATTTAATTTTTAACATTTTTTATTTATTTCAATCGTCAATTTTTCTTCTATTTATCTATAGAAAATGTCAAAATAATTTAATAATACTTAAATGTTTTAAAAAATTAACTCTAATTAACTATTTAAATTAATAATCACAGTAATATTATTATTAATTCATTAATCTATTAATTTAGTTAAAATTAATTTTGATACATTTTTATAATTATTTTAGTTTTTTTCTGTTAAAAATTTGAATAAAACTTAACTCTTAAGCAAATAAAAAAAGTTAGATATTAAATTGTAAAAAATAAAATAAAATACTAAAAATTATAATAAGTATTAAATCAGATTCTTATTATAATTTAAAAATTATATAATTATTATTGTTGTTTCTTCACATGTTTGGCATGTTTTAACCTGAATTGTAGTGTAAAAGTGATACTTGTTTTGACCGACCAAAGATTGATATAACATTAGTGAATCAAAAAAGCACTTAGACATTATACCATATCCTCAAGTTAATAAATCTAACGTACGTACATTAATCAATCATGGCTTTTAAAAAATATATACAAAAAAAAAAAAATGTGATTAGCATTATGTTTAGCTATACATGTATACATATGAAAAACATGATCAAGAGGAAATTTTCTCTAAAACATTTTCAATAATTTGGTCGAGATTTGATCAAAAAATCAATACAAATAAATATTTCTGTTTAGTATGTAATGTCTAAAAAATTGTGTGTTTGTAGAGTTGTAATAATTAAATTTAATTAAATTATAACAGGTTTATTATAATTTTCAAAAAATATATATATTTTTTATAATAGTTACGTTTATTTTGTGACTTTATTTTATTTAGTTTAAAATTAAAATATAATTTATGAAACAGCTCGAAATTAGAAAGAAAATAAATTTATTAATTTAATGCGGAAGCGTATATTAAATTTAGGGTTTACATTATTTATACATAAATTTTGAATGCTCAATAGGGTTACGAAAATGTAACAGCCCCGGAAATTCAAAAGGAAATACATATAATAATTTGAATGCGGAAGCAAAATAAAAGATTAAGGTTAAAATCCCTTACACAATAATTTAAAAGTACTAAACAATATCACAGAATAAGTTCTCTAAAAAAATACGAGAAATGAGAAAAATAAATGAAACTATAAAGTATCTAGCATGTACTCGCCGTCTTCTTGTGGATCGGGCTCGGGAACTAGGTCCTCCTAATCTGAAATAGTTAAATAAAGAATGAGCTACACTAGCCCAGTAAGGACATCACACTATATCACCGTCACAGAAGTAAATGTTGGTATAAAATCAAAAATGACCAATGGAGCATAAATTTTAAACAAATTCATTTATAAATAATCAAACTATTTACCGTCCACTTACCGCAGTGAGATTTATAGAAACAACCTATAGAAACAATAACATTATAAATATCATGAATTCATACATAATCTGTAATATAGTACATATCATACTTTTATATTCAAATCGTCAAACAACAATTGCCCCTTTTTATCACCCTACTAGTATCCATGGGGATCTATAGGGGTCCCCGCTACACGTGAACCATTTCCTTAACAAACTTAATTCCATGGCCGTCCCCATACCCCGTCCGGTATGAGCGCCAAAATAATAAATCTCAATACCCCGTCCGGTATGAGGGTAAAGCGGGTCGTCCCCATACCCCGTCTGGTATGGGTGCCAAATGACCAAGTCTTCATACCCCGTCCGATATGAGACAACGTTCACGGTAGGGTTCCCTATGAACCTGGTCCGTCCACCATCTCCCAAGATATCTAGTGAGACTGTCATCTTATCCACTTATCAAATTCCATCCCATTCCTATTTGTCCTTAGTCTCCGTTACCAACTCAAACATGAATACATACACAAGTAACGTACATCCAACAAAACAAGCGTATCTTAGATTCCCAAAATCAAACAGTAGTGAAGTAAGTAGTGATACATGCATTCAAAACCATAGAATGAATAAACCAGATACCATAATATATTTAAACTATAAAATAAATCAAATAGGAATTGATAGAGACATATATCTGATTCGGGCTCCATTAGCAACCGTAATTAATTATGCATATCTATTTAATTCGTACAAAATACAGTATTATCATTTATTCAGACTTCAATTCCATGATAGGAAATAGGGTGAGAGGTCCTTACTTGATTTGACACCGAAAACTAGATTTTTACTGCGCTTACAGGCGGTCTCTAGGTTCTCTGAATTTTTTTTCTCGGGAACTGAAATACACTTACAGTACCTACACATATCCCAAATAACCCAAAAATCAGACCCAGGGCCTACTCAACCAATTTCAAAATTTCGGCACGGCGATTCCCCCGTGCTCTGGCGACGGTGTCGCCGCTCGCGGCAGCGATCCGCCTCGTGTTGGCTGTTTTCGGCCGAATTCAGCCAAACTTACATCGGTTCCTATGAGAAAACACACTTAGGGCCCTTGGTGGACCGAAAAAATATGAAAAACTGAAACTTAACTGGTGGATGGGCTCTCTGGTGCGGCGACTCTTTCGGCTCACGTCGCGGTTGGGTGTTTTGCTCTGGTCAACCTGTAGAAGAGGAAACGGTGATCACAACGGTGAAAAAATCACATTGAATGGGAATCAGGAAGGGTCTCATCGGAGGCAAAAACTGAGACACCCCGCGGCAGCGCCGCTGAGCTTCGGCGGTATTTTTCGGCCAATTGACCGATGCTTTTGCTTCGATTTGGCCATAGGTGGGTTTAGAATCAAATTTTGAGCAAAGGGTAGAATTTTTACCTCGTTTGGCAGCCAAAAATTGCTCCAGGACTACGGCGGATGGCGACGGTCTGCTCCTTGACGGCTAGGCTGTCTTCTCCGGCGAGGGGCTCTGATGGCTAGGGTTAGGGTTTGGGTGCAGATGAGGTTATTTATACCCATCCGCTTTTGATCTGAGCCGTCCATCGTTTTTAATCTGGACCGTACAATCGCGATTAAATAGGAAATGAATCTGGGTCGTTCATCGTGATTCAATCTGGGCCGTCCATGCGCGATTCAATCTGGGCCGTCTGTGCGCGATGCAATCTGGGTCGTCCGTGCACGTTTTTGATATGGGCCATCCGTGCGCGCGGGAACGGATCTCAGCTGTTCGATCGCGCGCACGCAGATCGCCCATGTGGCTCCTTTCGCGTGGCCTTTCGCGTCAGTGTCTCTGCCACCTTGCGCGTCCTGATTGGTCGGGGCTGCTGACCAGGCAGCTGACGTGACACAACTTTTTTAAATTGCGTTTTGAACCCCGATTTTTGATTTTTTTTTCAAAAATACCTCCAGAACCCAAATTTTCACCTCTTTTCTCCAAAATTATTTTTGATTAAATCTCTAAATAATTTTTACCCCTTTTTATTATTATTATTTCCATTAAAATAAATTAAACTAAATTAAATTCAATATAAAATTACATAAATAATAATTATATTCATACAATAATAATTAATAAAAAGAAAAAAAAAGGGTTGGGTGTTACAACTCTCCCCCCTTAAAAGAAATTTGGTCCCTCAAATTAGCCTCTTACTCTCGATCGAATAGCTGGGGATACTAGGCTCTAAAGTCTGATTTTAGCTCTCATGTGGCCTCCTTTGGTGTGTGGTTCTGCCATACGATCTTTACAAAGGATATTTTTTGGTTGTGGAGTAATCTGTTTTTTCGATCCGTAATGCCGACCAGTACTTCCTCGTAGGATAAATCCTCCTGGAGTGGGAGAGATTCGTGGACCGAGACATGAGAGGGGGTCCGGGTTGTACTTGTGTAGCATGGACACATGAAACACATTATAGACCTTGAAAAGCTCTGGAGGTAGTGCTAGTCTGTAGGCGGCGACACCAATCATGTCTAAGACTTCAAATGGTCCAATAAATTGGGGGTTCAGTTTTTCCCTCCTGCCGAACCTCCTAATTCTCTTGAAAGGAGTGACCTTAAGGAACACCAAGTCGCCTTTCTCAAACGCTAAATCTCTCCTCCGGGTGTCCGCATAACTCTTCTGTCTGCTCTGAACCGTCTGAATGTTCCTCCTGATCTTAACTATCTTAGACGTAGTCTCCTCTACCAGCTCCGGACCGAACAATTTTCTATCGTCCACTTCTTCCCAACAAATCGACGATCTGCATGGGCGCTCATATAACGCCTCATACGGAGCCATGCCAATGCTCGCGTGGTAGCTATTGTTGTAGGCAAACTCTATCAATGGCAGATGGTCATCCTAATGGCCCCTAGAGTCAATGACACAAGCTCGAAGAATATCCTCAAGTGTACGGATTGTCCTTTCTGATTGTCCATCAGTCTGAGAGTGGAAGGCAGTATTGAGGGACAGTTTCGTTCCCATGGCTTGCTGAAAGCTACTCTAAAACCGATAAATGAACCTGGGGTCCCTGTCGGACACCACTGTCACTGGGACTCTATGCAATCTGATTATTTTTTAGATATACATTATTGCTAACTTTTCCAAGGAATCGGTCATCCTGATGGCTAAGAAGTAGGAAGACTTGGTAAGCCGATC